CTGTCACCTCCGTGTGAGAGTTTGACTATAGATTTTTACCCACAGTCTCTTAGGGATTCAGTAAATGCACAATCATCTTTCCTATTTCCATACCTTGGCCAGCACCGGAGAGGGCTCTGTTACCGTGTACATAGCACTCACACAGTTTTGTTAAACTTTTCACATTGCAAGAGACCTCCCCAAGAAGAGTTTCAGCTGCTCCTTCTTGTCAGCAGACAGGGGCAGGGTTGTGAGATGAAATATTAACAGTGAACAGTTCAAATAAGAGTCATGCCGAGTTAGATTTTCACTGCATTCATTGATTTGTGATGTGTTGTTGATGCTGTTGCCTCACACCAATTATCTGACTTTACCCCTCGTTTGCGTTTTCAGAAGTTGTACCTCCAAAATGCTATTGTTCATTTGTGGGGTGTAAGTTCATCATAAAGTACCGAAAGACTGCAACACAAAAGTGACAGTGACTTGGAAGAGCTTGTACATAATTTTTCATGCTAAAGAACAACCTCTTAAACTTTAAACACATCTTTGTTTGTAATCATTAGTAGTCACTATATTTTGACTTACAAATAGACACAACTAATACCAGTGTTTCTTTTTTCTTTTCTTAAAAACCACGAGTCTAGAAATAGTCTTCGTTAAGCTATTCAGTTGTTGTTGAGCTGCTCATTTAGCAGATGAATGCTAACTGTAGTCCCGTTACAGCAGCACTTCCCTGTGTCTGAAACAACATGCTGGTTCCTCTCTTACACACCAGGAGACAGTCACTTCCCACAAACCCACTGCGTCACCAGCTTCTGTTATTAGGATGTGCAGTTAAGCCGTAGGGGTGCCAACCTCACTTGTTAACACACATAGCAACTATATGACTTCACAGATCCTTTATTTAAGTCCTGCATTGAAAATGTCATTTAACATAGAAGTATGTAGGTATGTTTAGGAAAATGTAGTATGGTGTTTAAAGTAAAACTACTCAATGCAGAAAAGCACGTCTCCTGTAAGTGTTACACTACAACACAGTGGACTATATCATTAGATTGTTATTGCTCATGCATTGATGTAACAGTAGGATTTTACAGTTGTTGTAACTGTGACCACCTGTCCCACAAAGAATCAGGATCCAGAGTTGCTAAAATGATATCCATCCCTAGACAACAGTGGGCAGTATTTGAACACAGTTTATTAAAAGATTTGCAAAGGAGTCCAAAGGAGAGCTGGGAGTCAGGATCTGGGGTTAGGTGGTAGCCAGAGTGTTGTCTAACGAGTGGTGCAGTGACAAGGCAGACGAGGGAATGGAGGTGTGAGAGGTCAGAGTGGGAAAAGCTGAGCTGAACGAGTGTGGTGGGTAGGTTGAGTTAGCAGACAGGTCACACGGGGCGACCGGAATACAGAGGCACACAGAGGGCAAAGTTAAGAGGCAGGGGAAACGCAAGGAGCAACAGGTTACCAAACTGTTGGTTCCAACATGGCAACGATCTGTGAAGGGCCAAGCTTCAAGTGTTGCATGGGGAGCTTGGTGATTTGATGAAGACCAGGTGTGGCTGCAGATTAGCAGCCAGGAACCCGTGGGAAACCACTGTCAGATAGAGTCAGTGGACATATACAGAGACAGGCCAACAAGGAGACCACTAGAAACGCAAGGAAGGGAAATCACAAGAAACACTAGGGGTAAGGAGAGAAACACTGCAAAACTATGACTGTCCTTTGTATTGTCAGATTTCAAGTTTCCATAAGTGGTGACAGACCCAAATAAAACAAATTGTCTTGAAGATGTTCAATCAAGTGTCCTAGCAAGCCACCGAGATGCAATGCATTTGGCGTTTTGATGTTATCACTTAGAACTACGCTTATCCTGCTGTGGCATGCAAAAAAAGAAAAGAAAGAAAAGCAAGTCTATTTGCTTGAAATTGACTTGATGGAACAGTAGCTATGGGTAATGCTGTTTGCACTCCCTGCTATGAACAGTAAGAAAATACTTATGTCATTGTAGTCTACTTCATGCTTAGGATGAGATCAAAATGCCCTGCAATGTTCTATACCACTTTGAACATCAGCTGAAATGTCACATCCTTGTTCACCTTACATCTAATTTAAGAAAGACAATTACATCATTGAAAATTCTGAGTTATGAGAGGCTTTGGAAACTCAAGACTGCCATGATGCACGTGGTCTTTACAAGTGTGTGTACAAGTATGTTCACAGCTCTGTATACTAGTTTTCCTCCTAACAGGTAAAATAAAAGAATGAAGAAATAAAAAGAAGAAGACAATATCTGTGGGTGCTGTAAAGCTGAGAAAAAACAAAAAGAAAAACAAAACAACTGAGCTTAGACTGGTTGATTTCACACCTATTGATTTCTGCCTGCTCTTTTGCTCAAATGCTTGTATTTGTGTGTTTCTTTTATTTTATTATTTCTTTCTTTCTTTCTTTTTTATTGGGAAACTTAAATGCGGACTACCGTGGTTCGTCTTTGTCGTTCTTCTACCTCTGAGTGGGTGTGAGCGTTGCGCATCATTCATTCACGTGCATCGTGTTCTCTCGACACGCCTCCCTCCACATCTATCGGTGAGAAGGGTTGACAGCTAAGCGGCGCTCAGAGCGAGGGGCGTGGGGAGTGCGGTAAGAGATGGAAAGTAAATCGACAGCAGACAGGGGTCACTGCTTCTCAGCTGTGACACCGAGTTGCTGAAGACGAAAAGGGGAAGGGTGATCATTTTCCGGCCTATGTTTTCATTGATGGTCCCAAGAAAACGCCATGCATTGTCAGGTGTAATGAAGGGTATCACACAATGCACAGAGCCACTGGGATTACAAAAACCAGTGCACCCTCAGAGCTTGCTAGTATGCTGCAGCTTACTACATGAAATGCTGTCATGAATACCGTGCTGTGCTGGCGTCCAGCTGGGGTTATTTACTGTACTACAGGGGTCACTAGAGATTTTATAGCGCTGCCTCTGGATCCTATCAGCTCTCCAGAATGATATATCCTCACTAAAACATGGCTATCCCCACTTCTGTGTCTGACACTGTGAAGATGGCCACCATAACTTCATATTTGTACACAGCTGTCATGACATGATATTACAAGGGAGCGCGTATCCTGCTTTGTACATCTTTATTTCTCTTATGTTGTGCTCGCTGTGGCCTGAGATAGGTGGAGAGGCGTGATAGATGAGCTATGTTTGACCAACTATCTCTTCATTTGCTCTGTTTCACTATCTTTGCCTCCGTGTTTCATACACACACGCTCACTTCCTACTTGTTCCCGTCAATGGCTATACCTAGCGTGCGAGAGCGTTTTTGTCGATGTCAGAGCAAGCAGGGCAGCTGATACCACTCGGGAGCTGGAGATACCCTTGTCAGAATCCAGGATATTAACAAACAAGGCCTCGGAGACCGAAGGGTATTGATTGTGTTCATTCCTCTGGCACCTTTTCTACCGTTGCCTTCATCCACTACTGTGGACATTTAAGCTCTGTCTCAGCTCTTGTGCCTGGACTTTAGATCAAGAACAAGGCCAGCACTGCAAGGCAAAACGCCCCGTGCTCCATCTGTTCTGGCTGGGATTCTTCCTCTGCTCCATGTGTTTGTACTGAAGAGGCTTCTTTTCAACACAGACCTCGGATGGCAGCCATCTCACCAGTATGGATGTCAGCCTATCGTGGGCCACTTTGTTTATAGCTGGCACTTGCATAACAGAAACCAACAGTTTATTGGGCTGAGATGTAATTTGTCCTTTCCTAATACTATTCGTTTGAGTAAGTTCACGAACTTTGCCCTTGCATGTCTTTAAGTGACCAAATGTCTTTAACGGGTGTAAACCGAAAGAACAAAACCAATCCAGAAATAATGTTCTAATAAGACATCACCACATATGTCTGGAGAAACTGTCAATCTGTTGTAATGTTGAACAGATCATCAACAAAAGGCATATGAGGCAGGTGTTTAGACATCTCCAATTTTTGCAACCAGTGCAAGAATTCTGTGTGTACAGCTCAACTTTCCTGAAAAAACAGCTTTTCACAAGTTAATTGGATGTTCACTCCCTCCTGAATTGAACACCTACTGTATAGCCAGCTTCAGTTTTTAATTGGGAATTTGACCCGACTGCATGGATCAATATTTCAGATGGAAATTATGCATGTTTTTTTTTTTTTTGTTGAATCACCAATTGGACATTGGAAGGACTCCAACAACAGTGGTGTGATTGGGTGGTCCTTTGAATTTCTAGTTTCATTTTCCTTCCCTTCACTCAAATCCCGTCTGTCACTTTATTCATGACTCTGACATTAACTGTTGGTGTGTCATGTCATTTTTTCAGGAGGTAATGATACATCAAATGCTGTAATGCTGCACCACATAAACTTTTTTTTTTCAAATTTAATATATATGTATATATCCTACTGACTTGTTGAATTATTTGCTCTTTTTTTTAAGATAATTGGTTGTCTTCTTTCCTCACCTTGAGTTCTTTGATGATAGCTATTATTTGTCTTGGCTAGGTTGCTTTTGTTTAATAGAAAAAACACTTAATAGGATAATCTTCTGTTTTCAAAGGCACAAATACATGGCAAATTCTGCCAGGGAGATTTTTAATGAACTCCAGAACACAGTCAGTTTTAATGAGTTTGGGTTCTAGGTTGAGTTATTTGCAGAGGAGAGGAAAATGAATGTGAAGAAGTTAGCTGTTGCCTAAAAGGTTCTCTGTTGACCTTTGAGGCTTATTTTATGAAGAAAATATGAATGCTGCCTTTTGAACACCCCTGCTAGTTGTTTTCTTCCACCATCTCAATTAGCGGCCCTTTGTTGCGGTTTATGTGTGGAACAGTGCTCTCGTCGACATCTGATGCTAATTGCATTCTGACTTGTCTTTTTCTCCCTGTGCTGTTATATCTCATTTTGCCCAGACTGTCGATTTTGGTGAGCGAGTGCACAATGTAAAGAGTCAGTTTGTTTTGCTCTTTGAACTGATCCATCTTTTTCCCTTTTCTCTTTCATTTCAGGTGACTCATCTCAAGTTGGTAAGTCAACTTCTTTATATACTTTCTAACATCTTTGCATATTCTTCCATATGTGACCCTCATATACGTGCCACAGCCGCTGAGTGGTTAAAGTCTGCTATGATTACACAGTGCAGTCAGATATGTGTGAACATTTACATGCATACAAACAAACCACCAGTTCACCTTTTTTAGTTTTTTTTTTTTTTGGCTTCATTGCACATCAGCTGAATTCTGGTGTGCGATTGGCATTGCAACTTTGCTTTTAAAAACTAACTGTTGAATACAAATCCCTGCTGAATTCACTCTTTTCCTCTTTGCCTTTCCTCTCTCTTATTCTTTATGCATTGCAGCTATTTGATTTTGTGTGCTGCATTACCTTCCAGTTATTTGTACTGTATATTGAAGGAGATTTCCAGCAGTTTATTGTGGGGAAAAAAAAAAAGTCTTAATTCCTACTTTACAAGTCTCATAAAGTGCATTGCTTTTCAGTTTTTAGAGGTTTCATTTAATGACTAGCCAGTTTGGGAACCCTGGCATAACTTGTGAATAACATTCGGCTGCACTTACTTCCTTATAATGATCCTGGTTCAGTGAGTTGTCCCCTGTCCCTTTTTTTTAAGCTCGTGAAGGTTGTGAAAATGATTTATGTAGGGACTCAGGTTCTGATGTATGGATTTCAGTTAAAGATGACTCCCGCTATGTTTATGTGGTTATACGGCTTTCATCCATTCATTATTTGTTCATTCGCCTTAAGTGCTTGAGTGCTTTCGTTTTTCTAACAGGACTGGTTGCAATTCAGCGGTACAGTACATAATCTTCCAAATATTAATGGCCCACTTTCTTTTACCTACATCTGCATCTTTTAAAATGATCTTTTCATTCACACAACCTTTAAGAGATACATTTGGAGTTCAACTTCTATTTATTGTTTGGTTATATACTCGGCCTAAAGTGCCCTGGACTATTAAGGAATTTATTAAAACACAGACAGAGGCTTTATTTGTAAATATGCTGACATGTCACAGTGCACTAGCTTTCTATCTGCATATCATTTGGAATCAGTGGGTGTGGAAGACATGAGCGAGGGAAAGATTGGTATATGAGGATGAGCGCAGCAATGGACAGACTAATGGGATGTATCAACACCTCACTCAAACAGTAGGAAAATGAGATGGGTACAATTTAAAACTCTTGCTCACAGCACTTTGTAGCAGCAAACTATTGCTATAGTGATGTGTCAGTGTTATCGCTCGCCTCCTAATAATTAGCTTTGTTTCGCTGCAGTACCCAATATGCATTATGAACTTGCAATAGTAATCTACAGTATAGCAGAATGTGTTGCATGTAATGAGGAAAAAAAAACAAAAGCAAACAAAACATGCAGTTATTCTCACAAAGTGATGATAAAAAGGTTTTTAAGCAATCCCATGGCTCATATTTTCCCCTGTGAGTTCTGCACCGTGATAATTCAACCATGTCTCCTGATCTTTATACATAAATTCTTATTTGTGTGTGCGTGCTTGTCAAGGTTTGTCCAGTGAGTGTTTGGCCCAGAGATCTGATGTTGTCTGAATACTAATGTGGCATTTTGTCTGACTGCGGCAGCTTAGGAACTGGGTGGGGACTGACGTTTCAGTCCCTGGGGCGTTGGACAGAGTGGGGACAAGTATTCAAACACCACACCCATTTCCTACCACCCTGCCAGAATCAAAATCCAAAGAGGGGATGGAATAAAAACTAATTAAAATTTGATCTGGGAGGCCAGGGCAAATTGAGTTTCATCTTCATTAAAACCATCGGGCAAAGAGGAGGGAGATAATTCAGTTTTTGCTTTTGAGATACAAGCTCTTTCTGCATTGGTCTGCAAATTTACCATGGCTTTGGTTCAGTAGACCTTTGAGGTCTCACCAAGAGAAGGCTGGCCATCAAACAGTTTCTGAGTAGCTCATGTTTCTAATTACATTGCAGGGTGCGTTTTTGTTCTTCATACACTGTGGCATACATTAATTATTGAGCAAAACATTTTCACTGTAGTCCAGACATATTGGTTTAATCATGTTCTTCCAAAGGACGAGTAAGTCAGCAGCCATGAATGTGTGTGTTTGTTTTTTCCAGATAAAGTAGTTAGTTATTAATGCAGTCACATTTTGCTCTAAGGCAGTCAGTCACAAGTTGTGATGATGACGCTATTCATTCAGTGGTTCAAACATAGTACTGTGTCGAATTTTTCCGTCAAGCTTTTTAAAATGGGTTCAATTAGAAGCAACCCAGTAGCTAAGTACTTTGGACATGTACCACTTGGGTGCAAAGGCTTTCGAGCAGTGAGCTCCTGCTTCATCTACAGCCTACCTTGAGCTTGACTGCATGTCATTATCTGATCTCCACATTCCTTGTGTATCTCCAAAGTACTCACGGTGAAAGTGCCGCCCAAAAGAACATCTTTACATTTAAGAGAATCATTGGAGATCAATGGAAGGAAACATACAAAATCAGTCAAAATTCAGTATGTGCTGTTAAACCCACATGGATATGAATACCGCATCCTTCTCTACACCAGTCAAAGAGTTTGACAATCAGTGTTGAAAAATATATTATTGCTGGAAGTTCATATTGCTGTTTTTCTAGACAGTCCAGTTTTTCTTTCCACTGCCAGCCTTATGAGACAGGTATTGGCAGAGATAATTGTCGTCCTTTAGATGTAGAGGCAGGGAGGCAGACTACAAGCGGAGATCCTTATCCTAATGCTGAATTTCATTCCGACTCCAAAAAGTGGCATTGGCAGAGGCAGAGACATCTTTCTGTGTACATCTCTCTGTCTGTCTCTGTCTCTCTCAAGCTTTGTTCTCCACAGATCAGATGATTAGCATCTCTCTTTCCCCCTTTTTTCCCTCTCTTCCTTTTGAATGCCAACCTCAGGCTAGTCAGAGCCAGCAGAAGCCTCTTCATGCTGATGCTGCAATGGGATTGGCCTGCTCACCACATGGTAGCAAGAACGCTCAGTGAGCCACACATCCACGATTTGGAAGGGGAAAAAAATGGGGATTCAAGCTCTGTGCGGTGTTAAAGGTGGCACTAAGCAGAACATTTTTTCCCCTCCTCACTCCATAAAATGTTCAATAGAGAAGCTCCTAAATGTGTTCATATATGGAGCGATTCTTGTTCCTCCTCTGTAGAATAAATTATGGATATGAATAATACAGTTTTAGTTCTATGTCAACTTAGGACATTACAGCAACTGCCCTGAAATGATAATGAAACAATATTTGTGGCCAGAAATTGCTGTTGTGTTACATTTATCCAGCTTCAACTAACTTTTCTATTATCTGACTTCTTTATTATCACTTTGGGCATCAAAATGCCCCATCCTGAGAGATTGTAATGTTTGATTTCACCTACATGACGACCTAACAAGCCGTATACATCTACCGCAAACGTGGTAACCAAGCCAGTAAAAGCACATTATTTCTGTAAATGCAACCAGTACTTAAGATATTTTCCCTGCCTCCTGATGAACAGCACCAGCCTCTGAAGAGCACAAAAAAATGGGCAATCCACAATATAAAACCCCAGCCTGTGACCACATTTACATACTAGAGCAGGACGGTAATGAGATAGCTACCTGAGATAATTACTACTCAAGGCGTCCGGCTCTCATCCCCTACCACAGGGAACCAGTTTAACTCACTACAATTAAACAGCCACTCATTTGCTCCATTTGAGGCACCATTTATGCCATTTTATGCTCCACTGTGTCTTAACACATTGGTGGCTTCAACAGCGGGAACATGGGCCAGGCAAAGTGGAGGGATGCTTGGACATATAGATTTATAGACCGGAAAATGATAGACATGGAGGAGTAATATGAATTTAACACAATGCTGACATATGCTTGCTTGATTTTAAAGGATCTCTTTTCATTGGCATTGACAGACCTCTCACATTTGATCTAGAACCTTATCTAATTTAACTTGGCACCATTTACAACTGATGTTAAATGGTTCTTTTCCCTACAAATAGAGTTAGGCATTGAAACCTATTTCCAATTCAGAACCTGTTCCAAAATTGCAAAGAAAACTTTTTTTTTTTTTTTTACAACTTTAATTATGCTTTTCGGTTCCTACACAAATTCCACTTGTGCTCATTTTAAATAGAGCGTGTACTGAAAACACCTACCGTGCATTTCCAGCATGTGTCTCATTAGTCATGCCAGTTGAATGCTTGTATGTTGTCCTATCTTTTAATGCTGGCTTGGTTGGTAAAACACACATACTGTTGTTAAAAATAAATAAATAAATAAATAAAATAAAGCTTTTTGTAACTATGTTAATCCATCTAATTGTTAAGTGTTAGTTTGCGTTGCAAGACAAAGATGGGCACTGATGAAGGAAGTACTCAGATATTTTTACTTTAGTAAAAATACTGTTGCTGCACTTTAAAAGCCCTCCATTAATAGTGCTTGGTAAAAGTCATTTTTGGAAGCAAAATAATAATAAAAAGCAAAAAATACTTGAGGCATTAATAGTAAAACGTACACCAGACAGAAACCACTCTTCTGTGACTGTTACTGATTAGATTATTCTTACTTTTACATTCATGTAAAAGTGGATTTTACCACTGTAGCTAGTTGAGGTAGAGCGCATTTTATTTTTAATTTGTTGAATTGTATATATATATATATATATATATATTTCTTTTTTTCTCCACACAACTGCAACTAATGATTATTCAGGATTCATCTACTGACTATTTTCTATTTTATCTGACATATTGTTCAGTTTGTAAAAGCTATAAAAATAGCAATTTCCCTGAGGTACCCTACCAAAGGGATCAATAAAGTTATATCTAATCTAATCTAAATAGTCCGTAATGTCATCTCAATGGCACGCTGTCACCTTTACAATGCTCATTTAGAACAACAACGAGTCCAAGCTTTCAAATTGTAAAACAAACCAACAAAAGAAAGAACAAAACATTAAAGTTTTTAACATAAGTCAACAGAAAAGCAGCAAATCTTCCTA